GTCCCTCTCATACTTCCCTCTGGCTGCATGGCTGGACTCAGCCCTTCCCGGAAATCCTGCACAGACACCGGCACTGGGAGGCAGCCTCGGCACGGAATGACTCTTGGACGGCACCCTTAAAGGGCTGTTGTGCCCTGCCGGAGAGGCACATCGGCCTTGTGCTGCTCTTCCCAAGGCCGGCAGGGTCTGGGCTGAGGGCACCAGTAGAGTTTCCAGGTACTGAAAGAGGTTGAAGGCATATCCCGCCACATGGGGACACCCGCCAGTCAGCTGCGTAGGGCGGACACATCGGCAGTGATTATGTCATTAGCAGAACAGTACTGGCAAACCCGTCACCTTTGGCTGGACAGGCACAAGGGCAGCATGTCATGAGCACAGCTGGCTGGAGCTGAGGGTCAGACTGGGTGGCCTGGGAGACCCCTGTTACCTCGCTCTGTGTCTGTGTTTCTGTGTTTCTGAAATCAGTCGAGCGGTATATGAGAAGGGAGGGATACTTTCCAGACGCTCCTGTCCATATCTTGCAATGCACACATTCTTCATGCCCCCTTCAGGCGGTGGCCCTCTTCCCCCATGGAGAGCAAAGGGCCTGAGCATGGAAGCTTCCTATTGCTTCCTTCAGTCAAGCATTCAGTGACACTATGCTTCGTCCTGCCAGTTCCTTAAAAAAAATAATCATACTATTAAGCTATCAGGACCAGGAATGCCACATTAAGGCAGCACAGAAGAGTCTGCTGTTGTCTGTTGCTGTTTCCCCGGATGGACCTGGAGCTTCACTCCTGGCAAAGCACCCTGGCATACTTCTGGCCGTACACCGTTTTCCTGACTGAAGAAGATTCCCAGCGCTGTTCCTCAAAGAGGCAGGCTGGAGCGACAGCGGGAACACCAGGAGAAGTCACCCGCTGCAGTTCCCCATCTGGGCCGGCAAGGGCCGCTGTTGACCGCCGGAGCTCCGTCGGAGAAGCTGCGCGTCCCTCGGCGGCGCTCCCAGCGGCGGGATGGCTCAGCCACGGACTGCAGAGGGAAGCGGCGGGAGGCAGAGGCACGCACGGCCGGGCGCCGGGAGGAAAACCGCTCCCCGTGTGCCAGTCGCAGAGCTCGGGGGCGTGGGTTGTGCTCACGGACTGGGTATTTCGGCACCCGGGTGGGAATGTGGGGGTCCCCGGGCCATCCAGGCGAGCAAAGCAAGGATACAGCGTCTTTCGGTGCCGGCGCAATGGAAGGCAGGACCGAGGGTGGGAGCCGCTCCCCGAGAAGGCAAGTAGCTCTCCTCTTGTTGCTGTCCTTGTTCCACCCAAGCGCCTCGGAGCGCGTGCGGTTCTCTCTCCCCGAGGAAACGGAAAAGGGGTCCCTGGTGGGGAGCCTCCCCCGAGCCCTGCAGCTGAACCCGGCAGACCTGGCCAAGCGCGGTCTGCACATCCTCTCCCTGGGGAAG